TTTTTTTCCACTCACTATGTGGTTAGCAAAGGGCAATAAGCATTTCACCCTAGCAACCAGTAGATATCAAGGGGTTGACAACCAGTCTCTAGGCCTGTGTGTCTGAGGCTGCAAGAAAGAAAGATAAGAATAAACTTTATTGTTCCACTTGGAAATTTGTCTTGGACAAACGGCGCTAAACATAGCTGCATTCGCCTAATGAAAACCATGAAAATTAAAAATGGGTATAAAAACAAACCGATGTTTGTATCATCAGATTATGTTTTATGTCTGCAGGTAAGATCACTGAGGAAGAAGCTAATAAATCGTCCCACCTCAATATTGTTGGCATGGTCGGCTCAATCGACAATGACTTCTGCGGCACTGACATGACCATCGGTACTGACTCGGCACTGCACCGCATCATTGAGGTGGTGGATGCCATCACCACGACTGCACAGAGGTCAGACCCCACTGTGCATTCAAAAAGTGAATCTGTAAACCAAATGAATAGTTTGCACATATGTACAGGTAGAAAACTCTAGAAAAAACATGGACGTATCGTCTTTCTTATGCCTGTCAGTTTATAGTGGATATACTGATTCTGCATATTCATTTTTTTCAAACTCCACAGCCACCAGAGGACGTTTATCCTGGAAGTGATGGGCAGACACTGTGGGTCAGTACTCTGTCTGTGTGTGTGTCATTAGACTGAGAGACTATTATATTTGCGTGATTATTTATTCTCATTCATGTTTGCAGCAAGTAGTTACAGTGCATAACATAACGAACTCTCTCCAGTTACAGTCTTCTTATTAGCTGAAAAAACATGTTCCTGTGGCTAAGTCTATGAATCAGGCTGGTTAACCGTTTGTGTTTGCACACATGCGTGCAGTTACCTGGCGCTGGTGACGGCTCTCGCCTGTGGAGCTGACTGGGTGTTCATTCCCGAGATGCCGCCAGATGATGGCTGGGAGAACCACTTGTGCAGGAGGCTGTCAGACGTAAGTGTTTCTTCATTTGAAGATACCCACATCCTCTCTTTGCATGCATATTTGTACTTTTATCTCTGTTATTATTATTATTTTTTACTTTAGCAAAGAGCCCGTGGATCTCGACTAAATGTGATCATTGTGGCCGAGGGCGCCATGTGCAAGGATGGCAAACCGATTACATCTGACCAGATCAAAAAGGTAAGCTGTATGGTTCTTACTATTGTGCGAGTATTATTGTAAGCTATGCTGACAGTATACTGAACAAAGAGCTGGATTTGTTTGTGTCCAGCTGGTAACTGACAGACTCGGCTTTGATACCCGCACCACTGTTCTTGGACACGTGCAGAGAGGAGGAACACCCTCTGCCTTCGACAGAATCCTGGTGAGTGTCCCAGTAAAACGCAGAGTAGAATCCACACAGTACACAGCTCTACTTCTGCCTCTACTGAGGCTCCTGACTCCTGAGGAGTGTACTATGAAGTAAGAATTAGTGGAGTAGTAAACCATAGTGAGCTAAAAGTCTGAGTTTCCTTAAAAAAAGTAGCTTTTAAATGGCTAAATCGCCATGGTAACTTACCTTGAACACGTAACCTGGTCTGGAGAAGGTTTAAAATCCGCTGGAAATGCAACATTTTTAATACATTTCTTTTATTTACAGCATATAAAGCAGGATACAGAGTCTCTGCTAGGAGAACATGTTTTATATGTACAAGCTGTACAGAGGGTGCAGTCTGCAATAAAATAAGCTTGAATTATTTTACTCCTCTGTGCACTAAATCACCACATTAACAGTTTTCTGCAACATTAATTTCGTGTCTTATTTGTAACAGCGTGTTTACATTTTACTGTAATATTTTATCTTTGTGTCTTTATAGATTTGTAGTCACCATTTCATTATCATCATCTGATAACATCTGTGTGGAGTAGGTGACGCTCATAGGGATCATTTTATACAGAAGAAGAGTCATATAATCCGTGAAGCACCTGTTTTTATTAGATGCGCATGAACGAAGCCTGAAGGGCTGAACTGGGTCAAGAAAGCCTAGCTGTGTTGAACTTGCTTCGTAGTACACCCTGTGGTGAACTGGCTCTGTTGGTTTCCTCTAGGGCAGCAGGATGGGAGTGGAGGCGGTGATGGCATTGCTGGAGGCCACCCCAGACACTCCCGCCTGTGTGGTCACCCTGTCGGGGAATCAAGCCGTCAGATTGCCGCTCATGGAGTGCGTGCAAGTGGTACGTCAGAGTATTTTCACCCAAGGAAAAAGATGATTAATGTGTTGCTTTGCCTGTTC